AACATATATATATATATATATATATATATATATATATATATATATATATATATATATATATGTTTTCTACTGTCTCCTTTATTTCTTTGTCTTATGAAGACAGCGCAGCGGAGACAGCAGCAGATGTGGGGTGTATGTCTCCTTTGAGGAGACAGCAGCAGATGTGTGCTGTCTCCTTCTTGCTTCCTTTCTGCGTGAGTTTTGTTTAGGGTGAGCTGTCTCCATAACACAGAAAAAAGGAGACAGCAGCCGTTTATATTATTTATATAAAGAAAGGGATTATTAAATTAATATCTGCTGCTGCGGAGACAGGAGACAGAGAAAAAGGAGACACCTCGTTGACGCAGACATCCCTCTACAGCAGCAGCAACAGCAGCAGCAGCAGCAGCAGCAGCAGCAGCAGCAGCAGCAACTGCTGCTCCACCCTTTGTTCTGCTGCAGCTGCTGCTAGGGACGAAGCAGCACAGAAAGGAGACAGACAAAAACAATGTAGCAGCAACAACAACAACAGAGAGAGAGAGAAAGAGAGACAGACGCAGCTCCTCCTCTCTCGGCTTGTGTTTTATTGCTGGGCCTCTCTGTCTCGCATTGCCCTCTAAACCCTAAACCCTAAACCCTAAACCCTAGACAGGGTAGCTGTCTTTAGGGTTTGGTTTCTATTAAACCCCACAGCAAGCAGAGAGAGAGAGACACATATCTCTCTTTTTCTTTTTCTTTTTCTTTTTCTCTTTTTCTTTCTCTCTCTCTCTGCTTTCTTGATGGGGCATCGGGCCTACACCCCAAACAACTTTTTATATGGGCTGCAGCTCAGCAGACACCGCAGTGCAGCCTGCTGCTGCTGCTGCTGCTGCTGCTGCTGCTTGCTGCAGCCCGCTGCAGCGTTGCCTCCGCTGCCTCCGCACTGTCCGCAGTCCTCCGCTGAGCGGCGACGCGCGGCGGCGTCAAGATGAGCTAGCTAGTTAGCTAGCTAGCTAGCTAGCTAGCTAGCTAGCTAGCTACTCGGCTAGCTGGCTAGGTAGCTGGCTAGCTAGCTAGCAACACGGCTAGCTGGCTAGTTAGCTAGCTAGCTAGCTACTCGGCTAGCTCTCTCGGTAGCTAGCTGGCTACGTCGCTACTTAGTGTACTCGCTGCCTAGCTAGCTAGCTAGCCACGCGGGTGGCCAGCTGGCGGGCTAGCTGGCTAGCTAGCTAGCTGGCTAGCTAGCTAGCTAGCTAGCTGGATGGCTAGCTGGCTCGCTAGCTAGCTAGCTAGCTAGCGAGGGCCAGAGACGTGCGGGTGACCTTTGAAGGGGAGGCCTAGTAGTCTCGAGGAACAGAGAAAGGCAGTTGTAAGCCGTCCATAGTAAACCCTAGTCTCCTAAACCCTAAACCCTCGGCTAAACCCTAAACCCTCGGCTAAACCCTAAACCCTCGGCTAAACCCTAAACCCTCGGCTAAACCCTAAACTCTAAACCCTCAACTAGACCATAAACCCTCACCTGTATAAGAGAGATGTAGAGAAACAATAAAGGCAGGCGGAGACAAATAAAAAGAAACAAAGACAAACACACACGCACGACCATAAACCCTAAACCCTAAAAAAAAAANAAAAAAAAAATAATAATAAAAAAGGAGACAGGAGACGCCTGAAATCAACAGGAGTAACAAGAAGGCAAACAAAAAAAAACCGGGGAGCCAAGCACTCAAACCCTAAACCCTAAACCCTAAACCCTTAGCAGCGCTAAACCCTTCAGCAGTACCACCCTAAACCCCTAAACCATCCCCGCAGCGAAACCCTAAACCCTAGACCCTAGAGCTCGCATGCAGCTCATGAGGAGAAGAGGATATCCCCAGGAGATGAGTTGAGGGTTTAGGGTTTAGGGTTTAGGGTTTAGGGTTTAGAGTTGAGGTGTACGTACACCTGGGCGGCAGCAGCTGGTCTGTACACCGCAGCAGCTGTGAGCGGTGCTGCCTGTTGGTATTTATTTTTTGTATAAATTCCTGAAATAAAAAACAATAAATTAAAATAAAATAAAAAATAAAAATAATTTATTTATTTTATATTTAATAAGTTCAATAAGAAAGGAACTGGGCGAGCCTGCTGCTGCTGCTGCTGCTGCTGCTGCTGCGGCTGCTGCTGCAGCCGCATGCAGTCGCAGTATCGACGGTGGTAGCTTTGTAGGTTTTTGTTGTTTTTTTGTTTTTCTTTTGTTTATTTAATTATTTTATTGAGGCAATATAATATAAATTAATTTATTAATGTAAAAATAAACACCACACAGGCGTTCTCTCTCCCTAGGAGCAGCTTCCTATTAGCCAGCCGATCTCCTTCTCCAGCTGCTCGTGCTGCTGCTGCTGCTGCTGCTGCTGCTGCTGCTGCTGCTGCAGCTGCTGCTGTTGCTGCTGCTACAGCTACCTCTGCTGCTCCTGCTGCGTGCTGGTGCAGCTCCCGCGGCTCCTGCTGCTGCAGCTGCTACTGCTGCTGCTGCTGCTGCTGCTATACACACAGCTGCAGCCCCCGTCGGCCTACCTGTCTCCTCCTGGGTTGCTGCAGCAGCAGCTGCTGCTTGCTTCTCTCTCTTTTTGCCTCGCAGCAGCAGAGACACAAGAGCAGCATCTAACTGTCTCCTGCTGCACACAACACACAAACACCATGGAGACTCCCGCTGCTGCTGCTGCTGCTGCTGCTGCTCCCTCTCTCCCCACCCCGGCTGAGTTCGAGGCCGTTGTTGCTGCGCTGCAGAGCACAGACAGCAGCAGCAGGCAGCAAGCGCAGCAGCTGCTGCAGCGGCTGCAGCAGCAGCAAGAAGACTGCACTGAGTTTTGTCTCTCTATAGTTAAAACAACAGCAGATCCTGCTGCTGCTACTGTTGCTGCTGTCTTGCTGCGGAGCGCAGGTAGGGTTTAGGGTTTAGGGTTTGTGGTTTAGGGTTTAGGGTTTAGGGTTTAGGGTTTAGGGTTTGTGGTTTAGTGTTTAGGGTTTAGGGTTTAGGGTTTAGGGTTTTGTTTGTGTGGTTTCTGCTGCAGCACTGTGGCATTGGAATGCACGCATAGCAGCAGCAGCAGCAGCAAAGAAGCGTCTTGCTGCTGCACCAGCAGGCGAAGCAACAGCAGCAGCAGCTCAAGCTGCTGCTGCTGCTGCTGAGGCCCTGCAGCTGTATGTACAGCGCATGCAGCAGCTGACGACGAACATTGTGCTGCTGCTGCAGCAAAAGGCAGCAGCAGGCATAAAGGGTAAGGAGACCCCATACCCTGCTGCTGCTGCTGCTGCTGCTGATGCTGCTGCTGCTGCTGCTGCTGCTGCTGCTGATGGTGATAGTGCTGCTGCTGAGAATTATGCTGCTGCTGCTGCTGCTGTTGATGATAATGTTGTTGCTGGTTCTGCTGCTGCTGCTCCTACTGCTGCTGCTCTTGCTGCTACTGCTGCTGTTGCTGCTGCTGCTGCTGCTGCTGCTGCAGGCAGCGGGGAGCGCCAGCTGTCGCATGCATTCTGCTGCTTAGCGAAGAAAGGAGTTGCTGCTGATGCTGCTGTCTTTCTTGCTGCTCTGAAACGCATCTTAATGGAGGTCAGCTGTCTGTCTCCTTTCTGTCTCCTCTTTCTTTTTTTTGTCTCCTTTTGTTTCTTTTGGTTTTTTTTTTGTCTCCTTTCTGTTTCTCTTGGGTTTCTCTTCTCTTTCTACTGTCTCCTTTCTGTCTCCTCTCTTTTTTTTGTCTCCTTTTGTTTCTCTTCTCTTCTCTTTTTTTGTCTCCTTTTGTTTCTTTTGGGTTTGTCTCTGCTGTCTCCTCTTTTTTTTTGTCTCCTTTTGTTTCTTTTGGGTTTCTCTTCTCTTTCTGTTGTCGCCTTTTGTTTGTTCTGGGTTTGTCTCTGCTGTCTCTTTTCTTTTTTTTGTCTCCTTTTGTTTCTCTTGTGTTTCTCTTCTCTTTTTTTTGTCTCCTTTTGTTTTGCTTTGGGTTTGTCTCTGCTGTCTCTTCTCTTTCTACTGTCTCCTTTTGTTTGTTTTGTGTTTCTCTCTGCTGTCTCTTCTTTTTTGTTTTTTTTTTTTGTTTTGGGTTTCTTGTTGCTGTCTCTTTATTTTTTTTGTTTATGTTGTGTTTCTGCTTATACTATCATTTTAAAATAATAAACTATGGTAGGAGCCCTATATATACATACATATATATATATATATATATATATATATATATATATATATATATATATATATATATATATATATATCGCTGTTGTTTCGTTGCTGCTACTGCTGCTGCTGCTGCTGCTGTTGCTGCTGCTGCTGCTGCTGCTGCTGCTGCTGCTGCTGCAGGTGGTTGGTAAGGGTTTTATGGAGCCTATTCCCCTCTTTTGGTTGTCTTTGCTATCGGAGACAGCACAGGAGATGCAGCAGCAGCAGCAGCAGGGCATGCATCTATCACTGCAGCAGCATGCAGCTTGCTGCCGCTCCTTTCAGCAGCAGCTGCTGCTGCCGCTGCTGCAGTTCGTGCTGCAGCGGCTGCAGTATATCTTAGATAATCCGCAGCCCCAAGGCGCGAGCCTGGAGGAGATAGGTGAGGGGCCTCACCCCTGCTGCTGCTGTTGCTGCTGCTGTTGCTGTTGCTGTTGCTGTTGCTGCTGCAGCTGTTGCTGCTGCTGCATTTGCTGCAGCTGGTTTGTGTGGATGCTTTTATTGGGGTGTATTCTCAGTTGCTATATATATATATATATATATATACATATATATATATATATATATATATA